TAACACAAACAAGACTTCAGGAAGACTTTATTCAGGCCATGACAGAGGATAGCGCAGCAAGAGCTGAAAGTAGATAGATAGAACTAATTCAAAATAGATGGAAAAGAATATCAATAACATAGAAGTATAATGAAAATATCAAAGAATGGTATCAAGTCGAATGAAAGGACATCATTAGGGAAGTTATAACATATGGCATGATTCAAATAGCAGAATCCATAACAAAAGATAGAACCAAAACACTAGACGCAATCAGAGAATCAACACACAAGTTCTGGCAAACTAAATAGGAAATATGAAAACTCAGATATAACATTACAATTAATAGTGAAAAAAGTCAAAATATAGAAAAAAAATTAAGTGCAAGAAGGGGCAGGTCAAATATAATACATCCAATTAACAGAAATTATTACAAAATTTAGACTCAACAACATCACAGGCTATCAGATTCTTTGAGGCAGACCCAGAGCCCTAACAAGCCCAAATTAATCTAAGTAAATATCTTAAGGATAGATTTGAGAGATTATATATAGAACTAACCAACATTATAATAGAAAACACTCTAAATAATAGTTACTTTCCTTTCTTCTTCTTTTTAATTAATATTAGTGTTAGTAGAGTCTTAATATACTAGCACCTACTAAGGTGGACTGCAGCAAGTCACAGGGTTTCTAGTAATAGAATACTGAGTCATAATGTTTTTTTCCTTTTATAAATATATAGACTCGCAATTAAATTTGTGTATATAAGCCTGTATTAATGAATAAATAAAAACTCAATGACAGAGCTTCGCCAGTTAAAAAAAAATATATATATAGACTGATCTTTTAGAATTAAAATATAAATAGGTAAACTACTTATAATAGATATATTAAATGTGAGAAAACAAGATATATATCAAAATAAAAAATGTAAAATTTGTAACCATAATAAAAAACAAATAACTATATTTCCAATGTGGTCTAGTAAAAACAAGACTTTAGAAGAATATATTCATGCCCTTACAAGGAAAAACATAGTGAGAGCCAAAACCAGACAAAATGAACCTATTTGGAATAAATGAAAAAGGATATAGATAACACAAGAATATGAAAAGGTCACAAAACTATTATATAAGATAGAATAGAAAGATATAATTAAAGGAGTCATAATATACAAAATGATCTAAGTAGTAAAACTATAATGAAAGATAAGAGAAAAGTATTAAAAACAATCAAAATTGTTATTTACAAATTTTGAAAGATGAAGTAAGTGATGTTATGATTAATTGGAAAAAAAGTCAAGATATAAAAAAAAAATTCAAATATCAAAAAAAGTAAACCAAGACTATAATAAAAAACAAAACATATTTATATAAAACCTAGGCTTACTATCCATACTAGCTATCAAAAGCTTCAAAACAGATCTGAAACTAATACAGATATAAATAGATTCAGAGAAATACCTAAAAAAGAGATTTAGAAAAAAATAAATATAACCAATAAATCTTATTATAGAAAATATATTAAACAACAACTATTTTTCTTTTTTTTTCTTCTCAATTAATATTAGTGCTAATAGAATCTTGACATGCTAGCATACATAGAGGTGGACTGTATAAATCACAGGATTTCTGGTAATAAATACTGAGTAATGATGTTTTTTCTTTTTATAGATTATAGACTTGCAATTAAATTTATATATATACTGTAAATTTATACTAATAAATAAATAAAAACTCAATGGCAGGGCTTTGTCAGTTAAAAAAAAAATATTATTATTATTAAATAATTTATAAATATGTGATTTTTTTACAAGTTTATAAATTTTTATTAAATAATAGATAAATAGTTACTGAATTTTTAATAAATAGTTTTAATAAATAGTTAATAAATTTTTAATAAATATTTTTAATGAATAGTTGCTAAATTATTAATAAACTATTAATGAATTTTTGATAAATTATTAATAAATTAATGCCAAATTTTTATTAAATTTTATAAATAATTTTTAATAAATTTTTAATAAATTTTTGTTAAATAGTTAATAAATTATTTAATAAATTATTAATAAATTTTTTGACAATTGTTAAATTTTTAATAAATAAATTTTTAATTACTGAATTTTTTAATTCTCAAATTTTGAATTGCTACTTTATTGCCAAAATAGTAATTGCTGAGTGGTAGTATTTAAAAAAATTTTGATATTATTTTTATTATTAAATTTAATCAAATTCAACAATAATTTGACTATCAAATAATATAATTTCAATTGGTGTATATAATGTTCTGTGATTATTGTATTTATCTAGAATTGAATTGGAAGTTCATTTATATTTTTCAAGACTATAATATATTAGTTTTTTTTATAGTCTCCTTAATCCATTATTGTAAAGTTTTTATTACTGATATGTATTTTTTTTTTGTTATTGCTATGAGAAAATATAATTCTATAATTCATATTTTTTATTTGTTTAGAAAGTTTATATTTATTGCTATTAGCCTTCCATTAAATATCTTATATTTAAATATTATTTTTGCAATTTTATTGTGAATAATTATATTAAGACCTTGTTTAATTATTTGAAATTTATAATAAGTTTAGATTATGAAGTAGTTGAAATATATATTTCCAATATCTTGATATTTGATTATTTTAGTTAACTTCTATTTTTCTATTATATTCTAGCTTTTATTGTTGATGAGGTCAAACCAGGCATATCTTTTGAAGCTATTTATAAGATTTCTAATATTTTATATTATAATTTTCCATAGATTTTTAATATATTGTATGGTTTCATACTGTTTATTAAGTTCTATTTATATTAGAATTATACTTAATTGAGCTATTGTTTAGTTCAAATTTGTATTGGTTATAGTTATGGTAAATATATTACTAATTGTAGAATAGTTGTTATTGTTTTCTTTTATTATACTTATACTTCATATCATTAATTCAAAAAATATAGATATATTTTGATTATTAATGAAATTTTTAGGTTATTTTTTTTTTTTAATTTAATAATACTATATAAGTTATTCATTATTATTTGTATGTTATAAATTATATTTTATTCAGTACAAAAGTATTAATTACATAAAGAGTATTACTTATATTTAGTTTTATTTTATTGATCGAGTTATATAATTCTTATTATTTTTATTAAATATTAAATATTGAAATAAGAGAAAAGATTAGATTTGATAAGTTTTGATTATCAATTTTTGTTTTTTGTTATGTCTTCTTCTATTGTATCATAATTGTTTATATTATATTATTCAAAATATATAATTTTTTTATATAGTTCTTTTATTGAAAATTTAATATTTTTGATACTCTTCTATATTTGGCATAGTATATTAAGGATTTGATTTAGAGAATTTGATTTTTGATTAATTTGTTGTTTAATTATAAAATTAGTTACTGCTATTACTATATAAGAATATAGTTGGGTTTTTGTATTTGTGTTTTTCTATTTACTATCTTTTTAATATGCTAGGTGTCATTTAGTTTAAATTTTTAATATAATTTATTAAATCTTAATGCCTGGCTTCTATTGTATAATAACTATTATTTTCTTCTTTTTTTTATAATACATTGTACTAGGAGGTTGTTGCTTTGATCACAAATGGAACAAAGATTAATCTCCATTATTTTGATTGTAATAGTATCTCTTTTATAATGAATTCTTGTCCTAAGCTCTCTTGAAGTTTATTTTTAGATTTGAAGCATATATGTAACAATCTGTAATTACTTTTTACTTAAGAACTAAATCCAAACATACAGTATATGACTAGATTCCAGTCCATTCCTGAGTAATAATGGGTTTATAAAGTATTTAGTATATAAAATTTTGCAGATCATTTATGTCTCTTTTTGAGGAACAAAATATATAGCTCTTTACTTTAATAGTGACAAAAGTTAAAAAATATAATAAATTAATAATTTGAATAATGAAGAACAATTGTGAGTAGTTTTTTTAGTTATTGATTTAAAATTTTTAATGTTTTTTAGTGAGAAACATTTGACTTTTGTCTCTATCTCTCCCTTTAGGGACACATCTTTACCCCTAAGCATAGATCACAATACAAAAGAATATTCAAATCACATTATCAAGAAGATTGGTCTTGTTTACCATAAATAGTAATCTAGAATTGGAGTATGGATGAATAAGGAACTAATTACTTCTATTCTATTTTTATTTCTATTTTTTTATTTTTTTTTTATATCACATAATTATTTAGACTGATATACTATATAACTTGTGTATTTTTATTTTTATATTTTTATTATATTTATTTATATATCAGAAATATGTATAAATATGAATTCTCTTTGAGCCTTAATAAAGATAACTTTTAATTATTTTCCATTACAATATTTGTTTACTTACTTTAATACAAACATTTTGAAATCCTTTACACTTGATAGTAGTGAACTGTTATGATTATTTACACTTATATATATATATAACTGAAATTACACTAAACAAAACTCTGCTAAAATAGATGTCAACCAATTCAATATTTTTATCACTGCATTGACAATATTGTTTCTGTTCAATCTGCCACTGCTACTACAAAAATCTCTGTTTAAATTCTTACCTACAAGGATTTCTCAGATTAAAATGTTATTACTTGAATGCTGCTATACATAAATATTTTCTTTGTCCCAGGAATTGCTAATATCTAGACTCATATCTATTATACTATCACTGGACTTGAAAGAGCCACCCTTCATGAAGGATAAGAACATGTCTTCAATAACTGGAATGCTTTTGTCATACCCTTCAAACTGTTTTTCAACCTTCCAACTATTAACAGTATCTTTGACAGAAAATAAAGAAACTATAACAAACAGGATCTGTACAAAAATATGGATATAATTTTGAAATATTTTGAGATAAATAGATCACATAAGTAAGAAAGATTAAGTTGCCTACTTTATGGAAAAAATGAAGCCTGATACAAGAAAATAAGTAAATTATTGAACCCCTGAAACCATTAAATAAACCTGAAATGCTAATGTCCATTTTTATATGGTACTGGAAGACCTGCTGATTGCTGAAACAAAAGAAAAAATGATAATCAAAATCATAACAGAAACTTGCTACCCTCATAGATATTACAGCTAAATAACTATCAAAGGAATCTACTGCTGAACAACACTGAAAATACCTAGAACTATTAAAACAATTATATAAATCAAGCCATCCCTATAGAATTAGACTCTTTGAAAAAAATATAACAAGAACAATGATAGAAAACCTTTGTTATAAGTGCAATCATCTTGGACATATCTCAAGAAATTGCCCTGAATCACATGCCAAGGTCTATTAGATGGAAACAAAAAGTACTATCAAATTCACCTGTCTCAAAGAAAATAAGGAACAGTTGCTCTGAATTAATAGAAAGATTAATGAAAAGCCTACCTGGATCCTCTTAAATAGTGGAGCCTCTCAAAACTTTGTAAATAAAAAATTTGCCAAACAAAACCACCTGCCAAAGACTATTACTGCACTGCTTACTATAGAACTTGCTAATGAAAAAAAAAGATATAACTCAAAAAGTTTTCATATGAAAACTTGAACTTAATGACTATCAGATCTTCAGAATAGATGCTTAGTTTCTGGACTTGCAATGATATGATATCCTACTTGGAAAACCCTGGTTGTATCATGTTAATCTCTACATAAATTGGAGAAGCAATATCCTAACTTTCTGATATGAACTGCACACTATTACTATCAATGCTAATATCAAGAAACCTGGGACTATTTTCAAATGCTCTGTCATCTATATCTCCTAACATCAGTTAGCTGCTACTCCTGAAGTTGCCAAATTGTTTGACATTTGTTTTGTCACTATTGAAGATATCACTGAAAAATTTAATTCTGAGGGACAAGCCTTAATTCAAGAATTTGCTAATATATTTCCTGAAGAACTGCTTAATGAACTGCTGCCCAATGAAGTATTGACAATGCTATTGAATTGGTACCTGGATCAGAATCCCTATCAAGATCCACTTATTGACTGTCATATTTGGAAATGAACCAGTTAAAAAACCAGCTTGCTGACCCCGACTATCAAAGAATTCATTTAACCAAGTACCTCTCCATTTGGTGCCCCTGTACTATTCGTCCATAAAAAGGAAGGAACTTGAAACTTAGTGGAAATAACATAATATTATGTTATTTCCACTTAGTATTAGGTTATTCCCACTCAGGTATATGTTATGATCCAAATTTTGTGATACGGATCAAGGTGTTGTGAACCAAATTTTGTAATACGGACTAAGTTGTTGTGAACCAAATTTTGTGACACGGATCAAGGTGTCATGAACCAAATTTTGTGACACAGACTAAGGTGTCGTGATATATATTTTTTGACACTTAGATAAGTAGACAGCTTGTATATCCTTTAGAAAAATTAAGTTGATATACGAAATTTTATATGAGTGATTAAAAAATTATCACTATCAAATTTGACCCTCTAGTCGATTTCTTTTGGAAAGAAATACCTGAATTAGGTTAAGACGTACCGTCATTCGAGTGATGTGCGTTTTTCTTTTTTCGTCATGATACAGACGATGGTGTCAGATTTCTGTCGTCATGACACAGATGACGGTGCCAGATTTCTGTCGTCATGACACTTGCGATATATTGTATATCAGGTTGACGACAATGGTTGGTTTTAATTGTCAGACTGTATGTAATATAAAGTATATCTGTTTGATGACCGTGATTAATTTCGATTATAAGGTACTCTCCGATTTAGGTTAATACGTACTATGATTTCGTGTATCAGCTTAATGCTTCTGATTGATTTTGATTTTAAAGTACCCTCCGATTTAGGTTAAGACGTACCCTGCTACTCCTTCTGCGTTTTCTATTATAACTCAAATTCGATAGCATTTTTGCATATATTGGATTGGTGTTCGTGGTCGATTTCATTTGGAAAGAAATACCTGTATTAGGTTATGACGTACTAGGCTACTCCTTCTGTGTTTTCTATGATAACCCAAATCTAATAATATTTTTGGTATGCTAGTTTGGTGACCGTGACTGATTTCTGTTACAATAAAGTTACTAATCTAGGTTATGCTACTCGGGTTGGCTTTTGCGAGTTTGATGAGCCGAATACATTTTATGTGTCATTTGATATCATATGTTGGCTTATCGTTCCCAACCGATTTTCATTGCAATAAAATAGCTGACTTAGATTAAGATATCTTGTTGATCTTATTGCGAGTTTGATGAACCGGAGTATATGGGTATGCTATATATGCGCTATCTGGTTATGCTATCTATTAATGCTACCAAGTACGTATGCTCAGTACATCACAATAATGCTATCGATAATACTATCGGGTATATACTATCAGGCTATGCTATTAAAAAATGCTATCAAGTACATTATATAAATACTATCGAAAAGTGTTATCCAGTTATGCTATCGAAAATGTAATCGAGTATATGATACAAAATGTATGCACAATTACTATTGATGTATACTGCACATCATAAATGTGATCAGGGAATACTGTCAAACTGATTTCGATCATGTTTAAAGACATGTTATATCAAGGTATATCGAATTACCTTATCCCTAGTTGTCCCTAGCCTGACCCTAGTTGAAATTTTACGAGGGCCACTACTAAGGCCGGCTTTTTGACTTTCTGGAGCTGTTTGATTCCTTTCTTTTTATCCTTGTCCCTAGTAACCCTAGTGTCCTTAAGAAAAATAAGATTCTAGAAAAAAAAAATTCATTTCTTCATGGTCCTACTATATATATAATAGGTAATACGTATATATATTAATATAACACATACTGTATGTATAAAAGACAAAGAAAAATAAAAGTAAGAAACTCGAGATTTTGCTAGGTCCACTAGGGTCACTAGGGACAGCTATTCGAGAAGAGGTTATATGATCTGAAAATTATTAAAATGCTGGCCTTACTTCAGACCCCAGCAAATTTTTTTTCCTAAGGCCAGTTTTTTCTAGGGACAATGGACAACAATTTGGTTTCATCGAGAATCCGTGTCAAAGATTCTATTGTTTGCCCATTCTGCACCATTTTAGATAGCTTATTCCGATAATAAAAGGCTTTAGCGTGACATTTATCCGCATGCAAATTACATAAGTTATACTTAGAAGCAGTCGGTTGACCGCATTCTAAACAGGGGCGCGTTGACGCCTTTTCCAATGAATAACATCCTTCTTGCCGATAGCAAGGTCGACACAGATCTTTCCCTCATTGCTAAGATACTGACAAATATAAGTTCCTGTCATCGATTATTATTTGTCGAAACTTACTTGATTCCGTATATTATTATCTCAGGTAAAAATATTCAATAATTATTTTCGATTTAAACTTTTTTATCAGGGTAATATATTACAAAAACAACTTGACTACACTTACAAAAATTTCCAGGAAAATATTAATCACGCGCCGGCAGTGGCAGAAGCACCAACTTATCGACCAGAGAGCCCTGAAAACTCGGAAAATTTCGAGCCGGGATATGAGAATGAAGGGAACGGGGCCTTCTACCACTGGGGGGCCAAAGCCGACAGTGTAGCCGAATATAGGTATAAAATTCGTGATGATAGTATGAGACCAAGACAATTCCTAGGGACAGATACTGAGGATGGAATAGAAGCTATACTTAGTGAACGGCAAGGACATTCATTACACGAATTTATTAATGGTGATGACCCACTTCGTCCCTTTATTGATTTTGATTTATCTAGAGAAAAGTTTGATAAAATTAAACCCAAGATTAAGCTTACAACTAAAGAAATACGGGATTTACTTTGTCGCGCCTTTAAAGAAGTGTGTCTAGAAATATATCCGAATTGGGATCATAAAACATTAACTACTATCGCCAGTAGTACTGATGAGAAAAAAATGTCTCTTTATATATCAACTTTTGGTCTCCGACTCAAAAATATTGCTAAAGTTGCAGTATTTACTGAGCTCGTTCGCAAAAAACTTCCAAT